CACACACACACACACACACACACACACACACACACACAGATAATTAACTGTAATAAGGTAGTGTTTTTTTATTGGGGGAAAACTGTGTTAAAGAGTAAAAACATCTTAGAATTAAAATGCAAATCACATCATCTGAGTGAAGCTAACATAACCCTAACATAAGTTATAATCTCTGCAGGTCCACATCTTTGTTTCCATGACGTTTCCAGCTGTGCACTCAGGCCTGACTGCCTGCAAACTTTAACTGAGCTGAAAGGGGAACTTCAGGAACTAGTCAGTTGATATTTAAAACTCCACGCCTGTGAAAAAGAACTTCTCAAAAAGCCAATGTTTATTTGAACAGGGGGGTTAGCTCTGTGGTGCGGAAAAAAGAAGAAAGAAAAAGACTCAGGCTTACTTCGACAGTGATCGCATTATTAACCATTAACCTTTATAATCCCGTTTATCTGAAGCTGCATTAAAAGCATTCTGCTCAATTGAAAATTTATATGCTTGTGGCTTTTTTATTTGGCTTCAGCTCCACACCGAGTCCTTTCTTCTCTTAATAAGTACATAACTGTAAACCGTGCCAGCTGTTTCTCTTTAATGATCATGTTTATTGTACAGAAAAAATAATGACTGTTTTTAGTGCTTTTCTTTCTGATTTTAACTTAATTTTTTTTGTTTAATGCATCGGAAATTCTAGGATTGCACATTTTGTGCGGCGTAGTGATAGAATTTCAGATTAAAGTTGCATTAGTAAACTTTGAATTGGCTAAATAAATGATCGAAAAATGACGCTACAGTGGATGTAAAAGTTAGAGTGGAAGATAAGTTAAAATCCACTTTTTGGTTCTTTTAGTGTTCTGTGAATTTATTGTAATATCTTCTAACTTTTTAGGAAGATTCTAATTTATTTATCTGCAGAAGACGATAGCCACAATGGAAAATTTCCTGCAGCTCCACTGACTCATATTTCATTCTTCCAAAAAGAGAATAACTGGACAGCCCAGATTATAGATATGTTAGTGACATCTCGCCCAGTATGCAAATTCTTAGGTAAGGCTGAGAATTGGTGTTATCCCTGGTTGGAGCACGCAATAAAAGAGGTTTTTGTTCTTGGTAGATTGTAATCTGTGTGATTAGAGAGAGAGAGAAAGTGATGCTTAGAAGTCTATCTGGTCCGTGCTTCCAAAAAAGAAGAAGTGCGGTACATTAAAACATTTAAATTGACTGGCCTCTCTTTCTATTATGTGGCTGAACGGCAAACGGGTATTGGAGGTCTCCTACATATATATACCTGTCCAAAGTGTGCACCTGCACTAGTGTAGCAGCGCTCACCGGTAGGGACAGAAATGGCCTCAAGTGAGGGAAACACTTACAAATTGGTGAGTTAGAATAAATGCTAATTACAAATGTTTCGATTTTTAAATAAATATTAAATGCATTTCATGCTTTATTATTATTTTACCTCTTTATATTATTTTGTATAAAATGAGGCGGATTTGTATTTCAGACATCTTTGGACAGTGACATCAATCAGCACTTTCAGGATGCAATCGATGTGATTCAGCAACATTCGAACAATTCATACTACGATTCAGGTGAACTTTACGGATCTGTTAGATTGATTGAATTGTTTTTATTTGGGGAGGGGTTCTTTGTGCTGAGGTAAAAAACACAATTTGAGTCTTTATTCTTAAAGTTTTACATGATTTTTGATGTACTAAAGTTGAAATTGTCTTTTCAGATTATTCATATTACGAGAATCTGGGAAGTCACCACCAATCACTGCAGTGTCAGATCTCCTGTTGCCTCGTCACACACCAGTCTGAAGTCCCAACTCCTGTTTATGACTGGAATGACATGGCTGTAAGTGTAAAGCATTGATAAGTTTGAGAACAGAGATTATAGAAATCTGGATATTTATATGAAATGTGTTTTTTACAGCAGCAGTCTTGGCCTCAGGTCATACCTGATGTCGCGTTGAGTCACTCAGTGCAAAATGAATCCCCACATTTTTACTCCATCTTACCACCACAAAGGAATGGCAAAGGTGATCAGTGTTTTAAAAACACCTGAAAATTAGTTGTTGTTACACTTTTTTGTGCAATCAAAACTGAAACGACGCTGTTGTCCGTCTCCTCAGGTCGGAAGAAGCTCAGACTTTATGAATACCTGCACGAGGCTCTGAATGACCCCAACATGGGCGACTCAATCCAGTGGACGGACAGCGGCAGCGGCACCTTCCACTTCATCTCCAAAAACAAGGAGAAGCTGGCTGAGTGCTGGGGCCAGCGTAAGGGCAACCGCAAGACCATGACCTATCAGAAAATGGCAAGAGCTCTGAGAAACTACAGCCGTACTGGGGAGATCATCAAAGTACGCCGCAAACTCACCTACCAGTTTAACCCAGACATCCTGCACAGGCTCGGCTCTGCACATGTGCCCATGCACCTGCCCCGTCACCCTCCACAGGAGGAGGCCCACACCCAGCAGCACAATCCATCCGAGCAGAGCTACTGCGGGTCTGCAGCAGCAGACTGGCACAGCTGGTACGCTCACTATCAGCCGCACGAAGATTACGACCTGGCCGCAAGCTTCACCTCACACACCAAACTCTGATGTGGCGGAGAGCTCTCAGGATGTCAAAGTTTTCAAAGACTCAAATATTTTCGTTACATGCTGGATCCTGGTTGTAAAATGTATTAATTTACAAAAAACCTATAAAAATGTTTTGTTGTTTTCTTTTGTTTTTTGTTTTTTTTATTTCAATACCTTTACTGAACAACATACACATTTTCTGGCAGTTGCAACCAGTACTGTGTGGATTATTTAACATACTGTTTGCTTACCAGATTGACTTCAAGGCAGCAGCAACAAAAGTTAAGAGTAAAATTAACCTCACAGAACCAAATTAAAGTGGTTTTCCTTAGAGGTTTTCTTTCTGGATCCCTATTTATTCAAAGCATGTCATTATTTGAGAATTTGGGACAGAAAAAGTAACAGACTTTGTAAATTGATTCTGTATGCTGTGATTTAGAAGTGTTTGTGTACATTATTTAAGTTGCTTTTAGTAGTATATGAAAGAGATTTCACTGTATATTACTTGTAAATAAGACTTTAATATTCTCATTTTGTAATTTATAACAAAATAAATTTAAACTGTATTGCTTTAGCAACACTTTAGTTGGATGATACAGGCACATACTTTTAAAGAAGGGGTAAAGTTAAAATGACGGATGATCCAAAGCCATCAGTTAAAATCAAGGATGTCACTAAAATTTTAATTTGTATACTTGTATTTCTTTTATTGCTAATATTAAAAAAAAAAATTAGCAATTAGTGAACTGAAATTCATGATTACAAATCTGTTAGCGTCTGTAGTGCCTGTTTTACTCTTCCTTTCTTTTCTTTTTTTTTAAACCTATGTGGATCTCGTGCATTTAGCATATTGTTTTACTTTAATATGCTCCAGTTTTCCTTTTGCCTTTTGGATTGTTTTTATGTCAGTGTAAGCATTCAACAACACTGTTGTAAACATTTTTACGTGTCCAAATAAATCAGAGTAAATTAAATCAAATTCAGTTCAATTAATGTTGACAGGAACCAGTAGCTGGTTAATGTTTCTTTAAAAAGAAAGATTGACTGAAGGTCTGTATAGAGCCTGAAGTAAATAAGTAAAACTTTAAACTTTTTTTACAGACAAAGTCACAGAATAAAACATGAAAATATAAAATCCTTTTTTTTTAAATTCTAATATAGCAAAAAATGAAAACCTGGAATTTAGTTACATTTTTTCAAACTATATTTTAATTTGATTAGTTTACAGCCTTCATAATTACCATCATATCACCACTAGATTATTCAAGATTTACCACCAAACATGTTTGATATACTAATAAAAAAAAGGTAATAATGTTTAAAATTCTAATGATCATTTTTATGTACATGTAAATAGTAAGTGGAAAATATATTTCATGGTTGCACTAATCTTTATCCATAAATACTAAGATATAATAATTTAAAATGTAAGAATTAAATCATTTTCTCAGTATTGTTCAGTTTTGCTGATATGAAAATATCATCATCTTTCAATGATTCAACATCTCTCCCAAAAAAAATAAAAACTCAAAATAAAGCTACACGCTGCTATTATCGTACAAAACTATATTTTTTAAAAACATGTTGAAAGATTTGGCACCGTCTCCAATGCAGTGAAATATTACAACAGGCACACAAAATATGAAATTAAGACACATCCTGTGAGGAAAAATGTGTCAGCAAGTGTGTGTTTTCCTGAATCGAGAGCATTGTGTAGAAGCTGTCTCCAGGCCAGGTCTTATCTGGTTCAGCGGGGAGGATGTGGTCAGTGCTGGGAGGCTTTGTTGATGGGTTGACTGGTGCTTGTGTCGGGGGCTTTGTGGGATGGTGGTCATTGTTCCTGCGAGCCCAGGGTAGAAAACGTTTGGTTTTATGTATGCAGAAAGCCCGCTCCCGTGGGGGGTATAATAAGAGTCCCCGAACTTGAGTGTCTCAGTGTCAGTTGTGTGTAATTCTCCCATTCTGCAAGGACGGTACAGCATTCGACTCAACCTTATCAGTGATGGTAAAGAGAACTTCCAACATCTTTTCAATTCTGACATATTCAAGGCTGGTTTTATATTATTTACATCTATCAGAGTTTTTTCCAGGAGACTCAGTCTGATTTGGAGGTTATATTAGAGTTCCTCGAGGAGTATCACAGACAAAACAATGCAGAAAATGGTAAGTGGAAACTGGAAATCTATTAATTATTCACTGATTTTATTTGACTACAGCTTCTAAGTAATTGTCTGCTTTTTCTGACAGACAAGGTGCATTGGACGGCTATGGAGGAAAGAAATGTACCTGCAGACGAAACATGCAAGCATTGCTGGGCATACTATGAGCCACCTGTATGCATCAATAATTTGTATTTTAGCACTAGTTTTCTCTCACATATTTGAAGGCTGGTAAGCACTCTGCAATTGGAAATTCTGTTGATTCTCTTTTCTTCTCTTCATCTTTTTTCCCTAATTGAAGAACATCAAACCTACACTCCAGCCTTTCCTTGCACAAGATGCTCCAGCAGGACTCGGCCAAAACACAACAGCAACACTGTCTGAGCGTGGGCCAATGCCAAGCTTCACGACAACAAGAAAATCAACCAAACACCCAGCCGCAGCAGGGGGGAGTGGTGAGTTCTGCTTTTTTTGGTCACTGGATACTGTTATTGTCTCTGTTGCTATCAGCACGAGGGAAATAATACCAAGAGAGCAAATAAGAGACCTTCCCTTTACCGTAAAAAACAATGGAGCCGTGCATCGCTTACCACAATAGCTGTTTTTACATATCTATCAGATAATCACACTGTTTACAGCTTTAGCCTCTCCACTAAATGGCATCCCATCACTGAAGAGATTTTCTGGGAATATGTGACAATTGAGGAAACGATTAACTGTAATCTGTAGTAACTGTTTTGGCACAGCTGCCATGATTTTCGATAAGTCTTTCTTTAAATCCACCTTCATCATACAGGCTACTTACTGTTTGCATAATGGCTGCAGGTAAAAGGGTGCGACTCTTTCACTTCCTTTTTGAGATGCTGGAGAATCCAAACATGGCCCACTGTTTGTCCTGGGTGCCAGCTGCCGCCGGTGTTTTCCGCTTTTCCTCCAGGAATAAGGATCAGGTGGCTGCACTGTGGGGACAGAGAAAAGGCAACAAGAGACTCATGACCTACCAGAAGATGTCCAGGGCGCTAAGAAACTACGCCCGGTCTGGAGAGATCTTCAAGGTGAAGAAGAAGCTCACCTATCAGTTTAGCCGAGACACCCTGATGTTGCTGCAGAAATGTCATCAAGATTTGTAATGTAGGCTCGGTTTTCTGTAGCTCACATCATGTCAAGTGAACTGTGCTTTTTTTCCCGTTTATCTCAACTTGCATTTCCTACATTTTTCCATTATTACTCAGACTATTGATGGCTTGTGGTGTAAATATCAAAAGAATAAAGAAATATTTTACTGTTTCTATCATTATGGAGTTTGACTTTTAAATTTTTTATTAGTAAATGTCCCAATCATGTCCCAATTATTCTGGTTTATGGAGGTAAGAACGGTGCGAGTGTTCAAACAAAGATGTGCTTATTAATGTTTTTAATTCAAATTTCCAGAGACTTTATCAGGGCTGAGACAAAATGTATACATACATATGAAGTTTTGGCTTTTTACTTTCTGCCGGACCACCTCCATTTTTTAATTTTTTTTGAAAACTTTTACATAAACATGGAAGTTTTACGATCCGTGTGCCACATACAGAGCTGAAATCGCTCACCATTCACCTAATTACACATTTGAAGCTTACATTTTATAAAGAACAGGTCCACATAATATTTGAATGTGTCTGATGCGGCTTCAGGAAATATTAAATGAATCAGCTGAAAGACTAGATATCTCTTTCAGGTCCTGTGTCAGGGTTTTTCTGGATTTTTTTTCCTATTTCTTAAAGAAATAACTTTGAGATGATTTTCACCTGCTACATAGCATGCTGAGACATGCCAAGTTTTTGGCTGAAAGCTCTTTGGGAATCACCTTTTTTGCTTGTCAAACTGTGTTATCTTAAGCATTTTTTGTAGGTTGAACTAAAGAAATGAACACAAATTATGTGTTTTTGCAATGCACGTGCAACTGTGAGTCACAAAGTTCATAAAGACAGAACTTAAAACTGACCCATTATTAATTTTCTGTTATGTGTATACCCAATACTGGTTCATCCCTTGAGTTAGGTGGCTTTTATGGCCTTTTTTAGTAGCCTTAAGTAGCCACTTGCAGAGTAATTTTTGTTCCTCAGGTACGAGGACTGGACTAAAAATGAGTGAAAAACGTTCAGAAAGCCTGGAGAAATGATACTTAAGACCACTTAAAAAAAAACACAAGAAAGTCTGGCTGCTTGGAAGCAAAATACAAAGAAAGGAGGGGTGTCTTGAAACTTTTGCAGAGTACGGTATTTAATAAAAATGCGGTGAAAACCTTTTATAAGTTTTCACACTTGAGATTTTAAACTATGCGATGTGGTGAAAAAGCCACACAGAGGTGGGCTATTTGATGTTTATTTTTTATGTTATTTATTCAGCATGTTAATGGCCCGCTTTGCAAGACAGCTATATATTTCATAACTCGACATTATACTTGATGCCCAGCTACAGCATTGATTTAGCATGGAAAACACACTGTTATCCTAACTGTCTGTAATCTAACGATGCAATTGAGCATCACAGTTTCAAGCCCGGAGCATATGCATACAGGTGCAGTTAATTAACTCTGCTTAGGTTTCATGTGAATCCCCAGTCCTCAATATCTGTATACGATCTAGAATACAAAATAACCAACAGAGGGAGAGAAATGTGAATTAAGTTCCGTTCGTTGACCACTGAAGTCCTGAAATTTCAAATCCACATGGGTAAGGTCTTTACACGGGCCGATAGTTTGTAATTATTCCTTACTAAATATAATTTCTTCTGCAAGCATGTTTGCATATGTCCTAAAAATGCATCTCTCCAAAATACACTTTTGGTTGTGAGTATTTTACAGGAAAAACTGTAGATTTCAGTCACACGTTCTCTTGGAAACAGAGTTGCTTTTGTCTCTCTCAATGGACAGAAATGTGAATTTGCACTTGTTTTTTTCCTCATGTGATGGATTTGATGGCTGCTAGAAGCCAGAGGGTGTCAGTGTAGTCCTTTTCAACGCCTCCAGCTTCCATTAAACTTCATTTGTGTGACGTGACCTCACGGCTTAGCCTCCTCTGTGATGTGAAGTCTCGCCCCTCACAGGCAACTCCAAATGGTTTTGTTCTCTTTGTAGCCCACATGATACTTCCCTAAGCCCAGTATTTACTGCTGGAGCCCACTTGCAGTTATAAATGGGCTAACTGAACTATGGTTGTCTGTTACCAAGAAAGGCCACAAACTGAACTATGAAAACAGGCGTTTAAGGCAGGAGTGTATGATAAATTGAATGCTTCCTAATCACAGGATGATGATTTCCTTTGGTTTGCAGAATGGGTCTAATTTTGTTGCTGCTCATTTAAAAAGAGCTTTGCTATAAGCTGTGACTGTCTCTGTTTCTTCATAATGCTTTAAGCTGCATTCCTGCTCCACAGCCCCAAAATAGAGCTCAGCCTTGCCTTGACTGTGCAGCTGGGCCATTCACTTCCATATGAGAGAGGTCCCCAACATGCTCATGATATTTGTCAGTAGCTGGAGAGTGACACTGTACAAGTGAAGACGCTTCAGTGTGTTGGCGCTCGTAAATCCATTAGCTTTCAGCCTTGTTGTTTAGTCTTCACGACCTTATTAAAGACTACGTTTGATTTATCACTTGAGTTTGACGTGCTAAAAAGATTAATTAGGACCAAAGCAACCCTTTCAGTTACATAAATCTCAATGAAACCCTCTTTTCATGTCAGATACACATGTCAAATGTCAAGGTTTATGACAGCTTTCTAAGTATAGGCCGTATAACCAGTGCCCAGGCATCTCCCCACTATTTATT